AAATATTTAAAAAATGAAAAAAAACAAAACAGAAAAGTACGAAATATTTTAAAAAATGAATAAAAAAAAGACCAAACAGAAAAGTTTGAGTGAAAATCAATAGAATCCAAAAGCATATTGAGTTGTTCAATTTCCTGGCTATGGAATTAGTAGCGGAGCCAGTATGGAGCATGGTAGTTAATCTCGCGATATACCGCGATATATATCGCGATACGGTATGGTTCCAATCAAAACGATACAACTCGTGTTATGTATCGCCGATTGATAAATACCGTTAAATATCGCGTGATATCGTATCGTATCGTTGTATCACGATACGATACGATATTGACGATATTAGTCAACCTTTAAAAAAATAAAAAAAAACGAAGAAAAAAGAAGAAGAAATGGAGTCAACTACTCTGAAAAACGATTTAGAACAGATTTCTTCAATATCCCAACCCTAATTCACATTTTTCTCTTCAATTTCTTCACCAACCCTCACAATATTACAACCCTAATTCAATTTCTATAGATTCTTGCGATTCAAGACCAATTCGAGGCGTTTTTTTGCTGGATTTTACGATTGATGATGATGAATGCAATCGTTTAAAATTGGTAGATGATGACGATTTAAGTAACATTGATCTTCAAAATTATGAGATATCGAATATTTTAGAAATTAGGTATTCGGATTTGAACTTAGGGACAATTTGGTTAAGCTTATTTTACACAATTGATAAACTCTTACATCTGATAAGTTGTTTTAAGAGCTGATAAGTTGTTACGTCTTACTTTTAAAATTATTTTTTTCAAGTGTTTGGATAGTGATCTTACAAGCTATTTTACTCATTATATAATCTTTAATAAATAGGTGCGTAAAAATACTTTTAAAAAAAATCTTATTTGCTTTCCAGTAGCCTATAATATTTTGACTTTTTAAGATCTTTTAAAAAAATTATCTAACACACTAGATAACTCTTAAACATCTTATAAGCTTGTTTTAACGTCTTATAAGCCTAGCCAAACACCCTCTTAGATGATGTTATTTGATGAACATATATGATTTTTGTCATATTTTATAATATGATGTGAAACTTGAATTTATACTTATTTTGAAATAAGTAGTTATATTAAATTTTACATATTTATAATATTTTTATAATGTAGATATATATTTTTTACTAATTTAATAGTTGGTTAAATATCTTACAATACGGTACGATAACGATACGATACGAGACATGGAGAAAAACGATACGAGATATTTTTACGATCCGATAACCATGGTATGGAGTGAGGGGGTCGTGGCCCCTAAAACATTTTTAAAATTTCTATTATTTTATATAGGATTATTTTAAAATAAATTTATAAAAGCATTATCTGTCATTCAGTCTCATAATATTTTTTTTAATGTATTTAACGCTATCATACTTAAAATCCTGAGTCCGCTATTGTATCGAGCATATCTTTGTAGTAAAAGGAAAAAAAGGTAAGATTCGGCTTAGCTCACTCTTTGAAATTAACAAGTCTTATGTTGTGTGATGCAAAAAATAATTTAAAAAAAATCATATTAGTTCTACATGGAGATGGATTTGATCGAATCATAATTAAAATTTTGAAAAAATATTAAATTTTTTTCGGAGGTAAAATTTTAATTCTAGTTTCGATGAAAAAAATAAAAAAAATGGTAAACATGGAATGAAAAAAATGTTTTAAATTAAGTTGATATTTTTTTTTTGGATGGAAATTGCAAAATTAAAAAAATATATTTATTCATTTACCTATAATATAACATACATAAATAATATTGATATAGGTTTTAGAAACACATTAAAATTTTAAAATATTTTTGGAAATTAAAGTCAGAATAGAAATCGAAACCTCACACGTATTCTAATTCATATCCTAAAGAATAAAAAAAAAAGGGGAAAATAGAGGTTTTAGTATTCGAAATAGAAAGTATGTAAAATAAAAATTCGCAAAATTCAAAAATTTCATATCACATTGTGGCAAAATTCAAAAATTTCATTTCAATTTCCACCTTAGATCTATTGTATCGTAGGAATTCGCCCTGTCGGACAACTATGATATCTAATAGAACGTATAATATAGATACAATTGAACCTCTATAAATTAATAACTATTGAAATTAATTCTATTACTTTAGTGAAAATTAAAATTATCGAACTAATAATTTAGTATATTTTTATGGAGTCAGGATCGACATAAGTCATTATTTAAGTGAGATTATTAATTTATGGAGGTTCTACTCTACAGTCTAAAATAATAAGAACAAATTGAAGTATATATTGACCAACTCTCTTACTTTTCCAAGAAGATAGAATGATCAAACATATCACTACATTGTTCTATCAATTCATATATGTCAATTGTTATAATATCCGGAATACATTTCATATTCATTATATTATAGCATGTATCTATTTGTGAGTAATTAAGTACTTGGAAATATTCGATGAGATTAAACTTAAAAGCATCACCACATGGGAGGCCTACAAATAAATAACCTATTTATGAATCCGATTTATTCTAAATCACTATCCTATATCTATACGTGTATGTATATATTGGAATAATTAATATTTCACAATGTGTACTTATAATAAATTTATTTTATCTCTCTAGCCCTATTCTCTGTAACAACTCTCTAGGTTTTTTCAAGATCACTAAAAAATTAGGTTTCTTAAATATTTATTTAACACCTATTATTTATTCAATTTATTAAGTATTTTAATTATAAATATTTTTTAGCACATTATTAATATTTATTAAATGATTGTTTACATTAACTAAGCATTTAACATACATTAACAAATAATTGAATAAAAAAAAATAAAAAAAATATAAATCCTAATTTCTTGCGCCACCCTCAGCCCTCTTCAACCTTGTTGCGTCCGCTATGGATGCCATCCCATGGCAGCGCACTCCCCCTTCCATCTCCGGCCATTCATCACACGCTTAGGAAGTCGTTCCAGTTCACCGGTGACCACTACGCAAAAAAAATGTTTTTTTTTTCTTCCAAAAAACCATCAAAACACAATCCAGGTCCATCTTTATTCGTCCCAAAAGTAAAATTAACATAAAAAGATACAACATTAGGTAGTTTGAATATGTGAATATTTTCTTTAAATTCGAACCTGAATGGCTAGAGACGATTTTTGTATGCGATTTTGTGGGGAAATGGGGGGAAAAGAGGAAAGTTTGGGCAGAGAAAAACGTTTTAGAGAGAGAAAGTATTTTAATTGTCTGCATGATTTGATAAATTTGGTGTATGATTTAACATTTCAGTTTTTATATAATAATCAATAATCCGCAGCCGGTTGGTAAAATTATGGGTGGAAATCGGACGGAATGGATCGGAAATGGCTTTTTCAAATAATATGTTCCAATTTCCGTTCCAAAAAAAGCGGATGCAAAAATTCATTCGATTTCGGAATACCACGGAATTCTTGGAATTTCGGAAATTACATTAGTTTATAATCTCTTGTTTCATGTTCGGATATAATGGGAAATTACAAAATGTTTTTCTATTTTTTGTTTGTTGAAATTTTGCAGGAAAATGCAAGAAAATCCAAATGAGATCTGGTTCGACAAAACACAATAAATAAAAGCACATATAGGAACAATAAATTGAAATATGGATTTTCTTAGAAGGAAAAATGCTACATAAAGTTTTTGATACCAATTCATCTTTTCCAAAGTTTTAATTTTTGACCCTTCGCGGTATTTTTATTTTTCATATCTAATATAACATAATTTATATTATGAAATTATAAAATATATCATAAATTATATTATATAATTCGAAAAAACATAGAAATGTTCGGAACTAAAATTGGATCGAAAATCAAAATTTTCGATAATTTTATATACCATTCCAATTCCGTTCCGAATAATTCGGAAAAATAAAAAATCGGAATGAAAAATACGATTATAAATTTGAAATTTTTTTGATAGGAATTGGCGGAATTAAGAGACACCCCAATTAGAACAAACACGCGTCAATATAAAATTATATACCCGAAGTGATTGAATATTTCTGCAGAGGGTTTAGATATATAATTGGCCATTCTCATATATATCACACATATTCAATATAATAAATTGTGAATAGTATACCTCCTATCTCTTCACTACAACAGAATTAATTAGACTTCTTTATTCAAAAAAAAAAGAATTAATTAGACTTCTGATTTGAAAAATCTCTGTCATTAGTTTAATCTACGTCTAGACAATAACTAAAACCTCAACCCTAATTTACCTAAGCTAAGAATCTGGTCCAGAAAATGAATTATGTAGTGCAAAATTGTAAATGTAAGGATAAACTACGGCCATTCCTGATGTAAGGTCAAATTACGAAATAACCCATCATGTTTGAGTAATTACAATCACCCATCAACTATGAATCTTCTATATTATGTGGGATATTCTCCAGTTTGTATCTGTTCTATCCCATTCGAGCTCCACATTTTGAAACAAGATGTTCATAAAATGTGTTTTGTGGCTTATAAATATTAGATTATGGTGCATCAGAAACTGCACTTTTGCATAAAACGAGTACAGACTAGAGAAAATTTCACATAATCTAGAAGATTATATTGAATTGGATATCATAAGGGTGGACATTAAGAAGATTCAACTAGTTGATAGATTGTTGCAATTACCCAAACAGAAAGGGAACTTTCGTAATTTAACGTAATTTAAACATAGTAGTATTAGTACTACATCAAAATATTGACATTGATTGCCACGCGTTTTTGTTTGTTTATGCGTCCGTCTGTGTTGTGTGTGATTTGCGTGGGTGTGTCTGTGTGTGTGAGAAAGAGAGAGAGAGAGTAAAGAGAGAGAGGTAGAGAGAGAAAGCAAAGAGAGCTGACTTTTTGCAAAGCAAAGCAAAGGGAGTAAATGCAGTTTGCTGTCCGCTTTTGACTCTTTCACCAACAGATAATCTCGTAATGTAAAGCTCTCCCCCCTTTCGTTTCTTCTCTCTCTTGCTCTATATATTCCCTCACACTAATCACTTGGACTCTTGTCTCTGCATTTCTTCAACCCATCAAATTCATATATACAAAAAATAATAAAAAAAGAAGAAAACCCTATTTTTTTGATTTGATAAAAAAAAAAAACAAAAAAAAATTGGAGAAAATGGGAAGACCACCTTGCTGTGAGAAAATAGGAGTGAAGAAAGGGCCATGGACGCCTGAAGAAGACATAATCTTGGTTTCTTACATCCAACAACATGGTCCTTCTAATTGGAGAGCTGTTCCTTCTAACACAGGTTTCTTTTTTTCTTTCTTTTTTTTTTTTTTTTAAAACAAATTGTTAGTTGGCATCATTAATTAATTTAAAGGGATGTAATAAATATTTTCTGCCACCAGCACCACCGTCTCCTTCAATGCATACCTAATACCTCTTCTTGAAATGTTCTTTTATTAATTATTTGATTTTGTTAAAAAAACACAGGTTTGTTCAGATGCAGCAAGAGTTGCCGGCTCCGGTGGACTAATTATCTCCGTCCGGGCATCAAACGTGGCAACTTCACCGAACACGAGGAAAAGATGATCATCCACCTCCAAGCTCTTCTCGGCAATCGGTACATATACATACATATTTTATATATATGTCCGTCCATGCAAGATCCGGACATGTTTCGAAGATTTCTATAATTATCAAGAACTTGTGTAATAATATTTTTTTTATTTTTTTATTTTTTTTGGGATTTTGCAGATGGGCAGCCATAGCTTCGTACCTACCGGAGAGGACCGACAACGACATCAAGAACTACTGGAACACTCACTTGAAAAAGAAGCTGTCGAAGATTAACCGACAAAACAGCGAAAACGGAAGCAGCTCCGAAACCGAACCGAAGACCGTGTCGAAGGGGCAGTGGGAAAGAAGGCTTCAAACCGATATCCACATGGCCAAACAGGCCTTATGCGACGCACTCTCCCTCGATAAATCCGATGACGACGAGATTATGATCACCTCCAAGCTCTTCCCCATGGGGGACCCACAAATTACGAATCCGCCGCCGATACAAACGTCTACTTACGCATCGAGCGCCGAGAACATCGCTCGTTTGCTCGAGAACTGGACCAAGAAATCCCCAAAAAAATCGATCTCGACGCAGAGTAGCAACAGTTCATTCAACAACAACAACAACAACAACCCGAACAGCTCATCGGGGCGCACTTCAAGCCCGAGCGAGGGTGCGATAAGCACTACTACTTTCGTCGGATTCAATTACTCGGAGGAGGATCAAGAAGCCAAATTTGATGATGCTGGGGTTTTTCATCAAGAAGAGAGTAATAATAACAATAATAATACTAATACTATTAATAATAATATTAATGTAATTAATAGGGGTGATTTGGACAATCAAATTATGCCCTTTAGTTTGTTGGAGAAATGGTTGTTTGATGATGCAGCTGCTACACAAGGGCAGGATGGGTATTTCATGGAAATGGCCGCCATGGGGGAAACTTCTGATTTGTTCTGAAGAAAAAAAATTTGTGTTTCTTCAGAACAACTGAGCAGTTTCTTGCTTTTTTTTTTATTAGGGTTTTTAAATTTTAATTAATAATCTTGTTTTTTTTTTTTTTAACTAATTGGGGTTTTTTTTTTTAGGGTTTATAATCTTGTTTTATAAATCTATCTTATGGGTGAAAGAAGACAGAAATTAGATGAGGGTTTTGTTTAATGTTAAGAGCAGAAACTGTAAATTATTTGTAGTTTTTGTGTACTAGATAGATAATAAGATCCCCCTCATCCTTCTTAGGAGACGGAACTATTTGTACGTTGTGCATCATTTGGTGTACCTTCCTGAGAAATGAGAAATATTAGGGTTTGACTTTTGATTGGCTTTGGAAATCACATGTACCACAATTGATTGTCCTGGATTTGGCGGCGTGGATTGGCTTTGGAAATGAAATTATTTGAAAAAGTTTATTTAAATTTCGTTAGGATCAATTTTTTTTAAGAAGATCTACGTATTCATCAATGCTCCAATTCAATAAATTTATTTATATTTTAGGATAAGATCTAAATTTTTAAGTAGAGGTATTCGATAATATATATATATATATATTAGAATTTGAAACTTCGACTAATGCGAGGTCCATTGGCAATTGTAAAACGCAGCTGCAAATCGTCCCGAAGCTCCTTCACGTTCTCTCTATAGGTGATGTTTGAATAAAGGGATTATTTCACAAAACCCCCTCATCACAAAAGTCCAATTACAAGAAGCCCAAATGTATTTCTTATTTTTAAGATAAATCCAAAACATCTTTTATTAATAAAAATTAATTAATTATCACAATTATGCCCTTACCTTATCAACATTAATTAATTATCACAATTATATATGTTAGGGTTGAATATAAATATACGTAATATCTGTTCCATTAATATCACGTTCTCAATCTCACCCACAAATCTCGCCCTTTTTTTTCTCTCTAATTTTTTTTTTCTTTTTTTTTTTCTTTTCTATTCACCGTTGCAGATCTACTTTCGTTCACCTCTTCTTCTCTCCTCACCGGCGCTGCCCCAACCCCCACCCGGCAACGCCCCAGCCGACGCCCGAGCTATCTCCCAGCGCAGCCCTAGCCGCCGCCCGAGCTACCTCCCGGCGCCGCCACAGCCGCTGCCCGGCGCCGCCCAGCCCCCGCCGGTCGCCGCCCAGCCCCCGCCCGTCGCCGGCCCCAGCCACCACCTCTATTTTCTCTCTCTTCACCGTTGCCGAACGATATATATGGGTGGTAGAAAAAGGTAAATATTTTTTTTTTCGCTTCAATCATCTTTATTCAATGGTTTTAGGCTTTGTGGGGAAAGTTCCTATTTTATAACGATATTGTGAAAAAGACCATTAATTCTTATAAATTAATTTTTTTCTTGATCAGATTGATACAGTGACCCTCGTCGGCCTTGTTGGTGGTGGTTTACTGATCTTGCATTTTTTCCTAGATATAGTAGTGACTTACGTTTTAAATAGCTGATTTTTGAATAGTGAATATGTTTTTTTTTAGTTGTGTTAGTAGTGAATTTACGTATGTTTTTAGTGGATTTCAATAACTTTGTTGTTGATTATGTTATTATTAAAGTGGATTACGTTAATTTTTCGTAATATAATTGGTCTTGCACTTTTTTCTTGGACATAGTAGTGGTTTACGTTTCTAATAGTGTTTTACGTTTCAAATAACGAGAAGAAGATGATGATTACACGGACTATGCTCTAGGGTTCATTGGAGAGAAGATGGTGTCTTTTATAGTGGGTTTATAGCTTCTTTTTCACAGAATTTTGATATTTTCTTGTTAAAATTCATAGTGGTTTTCGATATTTATATAATTGTGTATATATAGTGGTTTTCATGTTTATATAGTTATTTTATGCATAGTGGTTTTCATGTTTATAGATGTTTTCATAGAGTGGTTTTCAATGTTATAGCGGATTTCGAAGTTTATAGTGGATTACACTTTGATAAATCGGTTGGATATTTTTTTAAATATTAAAATAATAAAAATTAATCGAATTACAAATATTAATAAAAAAATAATTAAACAAAATATTTTTTATTCAAGAAAAGTGGGAAAAAAATTATAAAAAAAAATCATTTAAAAAAACCATTAAGAAAAAAAAACTATTAAAAATGAAAATAAAATTAAAACTGTTTTTTAAAAATTCAATAAAAAACATGAAATATAAACAAGAAAAAAATAATTTATATTTAAAAAACCGAAAAAAAAAATTACAAAATAAAAGAAAACCATTAAAAAGAAAAGAAAAGAAAAGAAAAAATAGATTTGAAATGGCGTAGTATGGGAGATGTTAAAGGGGATTAGCATATTTAAAAAAAAAATTAATTTTCCTTAATAGTAAATGGGGGTATTTTAGATAATTCATGTCAATTGGGTTTATAACAAATATCAATTAATAAAAATGGATTTATCATTAAGTACAAATTGAATGAGGGGTGTTTGTCATATAGCCCCTTGAATAAAAGGTGGGTTTAATAGTATTCCATCAATATCCACGCCTGCAATATAGAATTTACCATCCACAAATCGTAAATTTCTACATAATCGGCTGTTGGTTGTGAAATAGTCCCATCAATAAATTCGAGTTTCTTGTTAGCCAGCCCTCAAAGCCGCTTTCATGGTCGTTAACAAAATTGTACATAGGGACACCAATGCTCCTGGATTATCAACCGAGGTTAATGCATATGGTGTAACCATGTCTGTTTCAGATTCTTTTTTTTTTAATGTCCTTAAACAAAAGCTTACGTTGTTAGTGGAATGTATCATTTAATATTAATATCTTCTTGCTAAAAAAATATATATTAATATCTTCAACACGTCCCATCAAGTGTTGGCAAACTACATTAGAAACTTTGCACTTGAAATATTAAAATTGGATGGCAGTGGAATTCGAACTCAAGACTTTTCATTTGCCCGTTCTGATACCATGATAAGTTTTAACATAGAAAAGTATATTCTTCTCATTCACTTTCACCGTACTAATATATAAAGATTGGCAATAAGTAAAATATTAAACAAAATTTACAAGATAAGGAAAACAACAATAAATATTCTAGCATATCCACCAAATCAGCTAGTCACGTCAATTTCATCAACAATACATGACTTTCATTTTTTTAAATTCCACCAAAATATATATTTCAAAAATAAAATAAAAACAAGGGGTTTTAAAATGTAGGTGCCTAGCGACAAAACTGAATATAACTAAATAACAAGTTTAGTTAAAATTTTGCTTGACATCCTTCATTAAATTCATTTCAAAATTGTCATCCACACACAGAGAAGGAAATTTCCGCCAAGTAATATTCAAACAGCTAATACAATTTTTTATTCTACATTTAATATCTTCAATTTTGCTTTTGACATTTTTGTTGTTAACTTAGAACACGTTTGTCCTTTTTTTTTTTCTTCTTTTTTTTTTCGTTTTAGTATTTTTTTTCACTTGTATAAAAGCCTAACTTTTCCCTTTTTTTTTTTAACATAATATTGAAAACTATGAAAATAATATAATTTTTTAAATGAAAAAAATTCAACTGTAGTCACCTATAGAAACCCGTAGAAAATCGTAATAATACATAGTCACCCATAGTCATTCACTCATTCGTACTCACACAATTTGAAAACCCTAAATCTCTCTTTGAACCTAGCCGTTATCCAACTATAGACGCTCACAGTAATTCAGAGTCACTCATAGACATCCATGCTCATTGATACGTGTTTTCCTCACGTATAAATTACCGCAAGTATACAGTATCGCATTTTGCAGAACAGTGGTTCCGGATATCGATCCACAGGGACCTTGTAGATTCACATGCTGAGTAGTGTAATTATATTATCGTTATATTATCTAGCCGATCGTAAATATTTGGATTGGTGAAAAACCCTAATTTATAAGCATGCAAGATCGTAAACATGCAAATATAGGATGTACGTAAATAAAGTAACGACAACTCAACGCGGGGGGACTTCGATTTAAAGGGGACTTCTAGGGCCAAATCCACCTATGTATAATGAACAACGATCTACAAATCCGTTATCTAATGCCACATTCCTATTCGTTAACCCAGACGCTAATGTACTCTAACCCCCGTCTCCAGTGTAGTTAGAGTCTACCCACAGGTCCCACGTCTCCGTTCAGAACCTGCTATTAAGAGAGCATTTAGGTCAAGTCCTTAAGGGCTACCCGAAGTGCATCACGTCTCCGTTTCCACACCCCGAGCTATGTTTTTCTAACTTCAAACAAGAAATTCTCTCTCGAGTTCATTCCTATTTAATATCAATCCGAGAGCTGATCAAACAATCAGAAGCATTTAATACAGGAAAACATAAACGAAATCGAAACACGACAAATAGATAACAGAAATGACGATCGAAATCAATATATACAAGGCTTCATTGCCCTAGAAGAAAATGTTCTTAGTTCATAACAAACATAGTATCAAAAGAATGTACAAAGGAAATGAAGAACAAAACGTAAAGAAATTGCGTAAGAAAAACCCAAGTCGAAACCCCCGTTGATGATTCCCGCGAAGAACTGTCGAAAACCGTAAAAAGTCGAAGAAGAATGAAGAATGAAAGGGCCTTTCTATTTATAGTGAAATGTAAAGCTTCCTCAAGAAGCTTTGCAAAACAAAATATCTTTCTCAAAAGGGGTGCCCAGATCGCGATCCAGGTTGTTTGGATCGCGATCTGGCAGCCTCGGGGAACTGCCCACCGCCATGCCAGATCGCGATCCAGAAATGCGTATCGCGATCTGGGTCTTGATCAATTTCAGCTCTGTAAGAGCCCCCAGATCGCGATACGGATTGCTGGATCGCGATCTGGATCTTGATCAATTTCAGCACTGTGACAACCCCCAGATCGCGATCCAGAGATGTCAGATCGCGATCTGGGTCTTCTTGGCCCCAAAATTGGCTTGAAAATTTGGTTTCGCTTTCAAATGGCTTCGACTCGGCAAAAATACCTAATAAAACTCTGAAATAGAAATAAAACAAGAAACGCAATAATATATACAAATAAAGCCGAAACTCGGACGGACGAAGACCAAAATTCGAAGATTTGATAAGTAAAAATCGCGCAAAACGAACACTTATCACTCATCTAAAAATGAAACCCTAGATCTGCAACCACTGCCGCCACCGCCATAGCCATCGCCTCCTCTATTGCCGTAACCACTGTCTACCTTACCGCGACCACCACCCACGATAGCCGTCTCCTTAACCAACTCCACCATACACACTGCCTCTATAGTCGTCGCCACTCACTATAGCCGCCTCCATAACCACCGCCATAACCACCCACCATAACAAGAGAGAGACCG